TCCATATTGTATCGAAAGACTTTTTTTAAACAGAGAATCACGGTAATAACGCGTACCATAAACGTATTAATTAATACGTTTACGAAGATATCGTATCGCGTAAATAATTATTATTCTCGATTAAAATAGTATCGACGCGTCTCTGTCAATTTGGCGCGGAATATTATTCGAAGCAGAATATCGCAATTGCTTTGTGTCTATAAAATAAACAATAATATCAGAATCGGTGTCTCTTTTAAAAGTATTTTCGTTCGCTGTAACGTTTTACGTTCCTTTTATATTTTGTCGTTCGGCGCAACAGCCTTTACTCCGGGCCGAATTAAATCGCCATCGCAAATGGATATTTTTACATATTTACACGTGCAGTTTTTACCACACTATCGACGCGCGTATTGACGCTGCGACGCTTTGACAAACATTGGTATTCCCAACCGTTTGTTTCCGACAATTTTCAGTTGACGCTCGATATAGGTAAATATCATTCGCTAAAAAGTGATATTGATCATTGTTTACGAATGTAACACCTTCGCGAACAACAGAGGTAAACAGCGACGCGTGCGGTTGTGAATTAGACAGGTAGTGGTTAATTGCACATTTAATTGGTTTACACACGACATGTGTTTACCAAGGTCGAATATGAAAACGGAGGGAATACTGACAGATAATTGTCAATATACGCGACACTTCCGCATGTATATATATTTCGCATTACACGCAGGAAATGCGATATTTAATATCGGTAGAATATCGCGACGTTTCTAATAACGATACAAGAGCTGCGTGACAGTTCGAAGGACGAGGGTAAACATACATAGTTTTACGTCTCCATCTTCATATAGGAATCAACGAGAACCGAGCAAATATCGTGCCTGCGAGTGCTCGGTTATGACGTGTATTAATCGAGCAAAATAAATATTGTGCCCCCTTACGTTGTTTTTCCGCGACGTTGATTCTGCGTTGTCAAATACCGAAACTAGTATATTTTTTTAACGTTCGCCGAGTCTGCAAATTTTTAGCCGGTTGCTACGCCATGTTTTGTTAGTCGTCGTTTACTTGAGTTCGTTTTACGCCAAAAGGACGATGAACTTGTTTGCGATAATTTATTTCGAAAATTTCAGTACGCGCGAGCAATGCAGTTTAATCGCTCGAATGTCTTAGTATTCGTGAGAAGATAGTGGGCGTTCCGCGTGTACTAATACACGTTGTTTTGATGAGTTAATTGCATGGTGTCCAGAAACACGATGTTACTCGCGCGCGAGGGACAATAACGGTATAATTACCAGGCTGGAATTTGCATTCCACCTACGATTTCCTCATTTTCGTCGTTTAAATTTAAAAACACCTCTTTTTCTGAGCGCTATGAATTGTCATTGCGTATCCACGATCTGTTCTAAATGTTTTCGAACTGAAATTAAAACAATATTGTAAAATAATGAATATCGTCGAGCATTGAAAATATATCCGTTCTGTACAGAGGCTCTTGAAACATCTTCGATACGTTTGAACGCTGATCGTGTTGAATTTTTCAGTAATTAATTTTAATGCAAATGGTAAATGAACTTAATTGGCTCGTTTTAAACGATCGATATTACAAGTAAAAACAAATTTATATTAAATGAAATTTATTAAACTGAAATTGAATTCATGTTAATTAAATTCAGATTTAAATTGATTAAATATATTTTTGTGTAACATCGACGGTGTAAAATCAACCAATTAAGTTTACTTAATACTTGTGTTGAAACTCGTTACTGAACTTTACATTTATTTAGAAATATAGCGACGAGTAGTCCTCTAATTTTCAGTCGATGTGCATTCGTGGGGCACAGACTGTTGACTGTACATTTTAGTCAAAGATTAGATCGTTCGACGGATTCGCCTCGATCTCATTTTCAATTCCAATGACCGCTTTGTCGCGCGTCTACACGCGTCCATGGACCGATCGTAAAATCCGGGCAATTCGATCGCCTTTGATCGCGAGCACTCGACGCTTCGAGGGTGGTGGCGCGAGTGGCCAGCTTGAGGTTGCGCTAATCGAATCCACTTAAGAAGAACACGGGGGATAACGAGAAACTCTTCCGTGCAGCATCGCCGACGTGTCTAGGTCAGGCAATTGCAAGCTATGGTCCACGGGACAAGGACGATTTTTAAATCGGTCTCACGATACGCTTCACTCGTCCCCCCTCTTGTCATCGCTGCAATTTACATAGCAGAGAACATTCCAATTTACATTTTCTTCGGTATTCAGGATCAACATCTTGCATTCTTACTTTTGCATCCTCGAAATATTTTTACAGATTGAATCGGAAATGTTGAAACGATCTCCCCTCGAGTGTCGTTAGTCACAGAAATATTTTACGACAAAAATTAGGAAAACAGGAAGATTCGAATCGTTTGTGATCCAAAGGAAGGTGTCGCGGTCGTCTCAAGGGGATAAACGCGGGGGTGCGTTTATCGCGGGCACGGTCGCGACAAAGGCGTCGTAATGAGAACATGTGCTGCATACAGGATGCATCGTAGGCTTCATTAGCGAGCCCGTTCCTGTCCGCGGGGCCCATTGTACGACCTAACCGGCTGCGCCGCGGCCGATACTGTGACGCGTTGCGTGATTCTTTGGCACCGCGGCGGCGGTGGTGCCGGCGGGTGTTTGTTACCGGCAGCGAACACGAATTCCTAATTGCGGAAATGGGGCCCCGGCCGCCGTTGGATGATCGTTACCGCGCGACGCCGGCGACCTGACAATCGGGGGTGGCCCCGAACGTCGCGGCAAATAACGCGCACGTCGGAGGGTTGCTTCGTGCTCCCGCGAGACTCGCCGTGCTGACCGAGTACCCGAAACGGTCGTGTAGCTTGAAATTTCGCCATAGAGAGAGCGCGCCGTTTATCGAACCGACGAGAATCGTAATCTGCATTAGCGAAGGCCATTTTGCCAATAATTAACACTCGACCGCCGTAACGACCGATCGAGAACTCAATAAAAAGGCCACCTCGAGCTCCCTGCGGGAAATTTTACGAGATTTGCGCATCATGTTTGTTCAAATGTTAATTAATTTATGGATACACGAAGAGCCGTCCGTTTATAACAGATGCGTGTAACTGCGTGGCAAGGGATTTCTTTAATTCGCGACTCTATTAATTATATCGGGACAGCGTAAACTTTTAATTGCGGAAACGAGTTGCACGCCCACGCGCGTGTCGCTGCGTGTTTCAGTGTATAGAGTCCACGGACGAAGCCGGTTGACCGGTTGCGTTGTTTGATAATCAGTCGTTACAAATCAAGCATGCGATTCCTGACATCCTGCGATTAGTGTTATGACAGCAAATTACATAAGTTCCTGATTGGATATCTGTCGTCGGCCGTGAATCAAATTCCGTATAAAATGTTGGGAATCAAAGTATTAAGTTATGTAAGGTGATTTTTGAAACTGGGGCAAACTTTGAAGTTGTGTAGCAAATATGCTCGAAGAATTAGTTTTAACTTTACCTTTGTAAAAAAACCTTTGTCTTTTTTAAAAAAAATTCATAAGCGGAGTAGCCAAATTGTGGGAAACGTGCGCCAAACCGTTTTACTCTGCACGTTTCCGAATATTGTGTCAGAATCTGGGCGTTACTTATGAGCCGATGCTCCATCCTGTTGGATGTATTTTAAATTGCATCGTAACTGAAGCGGGACATCATCCAATAGAGGAAGCAATGTGGGTTCCAAGAAATTCCGGTATCGTCGTTCATTTGTGACGTTATCGGTAGAAAAACGTAATCTAGTGCGATGCATACAATTGTACAAAGTATGAACATTTTAAAGCAGATAATTTAATCTACTCGTTTGCATATCAATTCTATGATTTCGTGTCAATTTCGCGGTCATTTCGTGAATACAAAATGCGACATGGAATTTTAAATTTCCACGGCGTATTGTTAATCTAGAATACCGAGAATAATGTAATTTATAATATTCCAAAGCGTAGCAATATTTTTCTGCAATGCAAATTACAGCGAAAACAAAAGAGGAGAAATGCAAAGTTTCGCGTGTAAATTGTTAGTACACATGCGCTGGTTACGGCGAAAAAAGAAATTTCAAATCGTTCTAAAAAAATTATTTTTAGCTAGGGGGGGGGCCAATTACAATCATTTTTGGTGAATAGACATACCCCCGAAATCCTACGCACTTTGGAGAAAAAGATTCCTTATCAAAAATCTAATGTCTGATCAGATGTCTTGTTCTACTGAAATTTCATAACTTCTGAACGGATTGAGGGATTTTAATGTTTCGAAATGCAAACGACGCGTATTTTGGTGAAGAATATGTAGAAATTCTAATGATCGATAGGTTGTTGCTTAACTCCAATCTTCAAACGGTTCTAGAATCTCCCAATAAAATTGTTCCCAGAGGTGGCCGAACATTCTGTATATTAATCTCAGTGTAAGGATAAGTAACCGACGCGTTCCGGGTTCGCCACACGCGAAAGGGTAATAAAAAAGTTTTGTTTGCGCCGCGGTATCTACCGAAAGCGGTATAAAAAGGGTTGCTTTTTACGGAAAAAAGATCAGCCGTTTCCGACTGTTCAAAGAAGCAAGGATTACATCCGTGCTCGCGAGGTACGAGCGTATTCTGAATTACAGTCGAGGTTAAGGAAGCAAGGATTGCACCCAGGTCCATTAGATCTAATGACTCTCCTTGGTAGGTTCAAGCTCATAAAGGCTACACGCATCCAGAACCGCAAGGTAACTCAAAACGAGGTCGCGGAAGATCTGGAGCATGGAAGCTTTCAGAAAGATCTCCGACCCAGCAGCGAGAGAAGTTACAAAGTAAAAAAAAAAGTGTCACGAATAAAAAGAATTATGTAACCGAGGATAACGTGGCGCAGAGAGTTGCGATAAATATAACTGTTAAGATTATTTTTCAAATAAGGATATGGTACGCGTCGAAATCGTTTAATTCGCGAATAGACTTAGGAAAGAGAACGTTTATATCATTGCAAGTATATTTTGTTTGTTTGCAGCTTACGGCGGGGTCCGGGGGCTAATGTGCAAGACGCCAGTGGATATTCCGCCCTTCATCATGCAGCTTTGAATGGTCACAAGTACGTATCGATCGATCGAACGCAAGCTCGTTTCGTCACCAGTATTTATCCGACCACTTTCGTTTCACGAGTCGATTCGTGATATTTTTCTTATTAATATTCCGTTCGATCGCCTATTAATCGATGTCGCTTATACTCCGACGATAATTCGAGGAAACGCTTTTATCCTCAGGGAGGTGGTAAAGTTATTGCTCCAATATGAGGCTTCCACTAACGTCGTCGACGCTAAAGGCTCTTCGCCGCTTCATTTGGCAGCTTGGGCGGGCGATGCTGATATCGTGCGGTTAATTCTTACCCAAGGACCTTCGGTACCCAAAGTGAATCTTACGGTCAGTAAATTTATACCTCTTCTTTTTTATTAATTAAAGAAAAACCACCGTGAATACTTTCGATCGTCGTTAATCTCTAACAAAATAAAGAAATGATCCGTGAAACGAGCTTTTCTGGGACCAGTTCTGAAAAGAATTAAACATTCTAGTAAACCATCGTAACATTTGCGACTAGCAAGGGGAAGAAAAGTGGAAAAGTAAAGAGCAAGATACGGTTAAAGAGGGAGAAACAGTGAGATTCTTTAAGATACGGTCGAGTGGTGGGGGGAGGAATTATTGTGCATTTAATAAAAGAGCTCGTTTCAAGAACTTCACTACTGTTTCGTTTATGAATGCATTTAAACTAAAATTACGGAGGCGTCGGTTTTCATTCAACTTCTGTATTAATTCTACTGTTCGGTACGTGCCAGGACGCGCGATCTCGTTTCGTGCGAGTTGTTCGTCTGTTTTCGTAAAAAGTAATTGTTGTTCCCTCTTGCTCGTGCAACAAAGAGATTTTCCCGGTCCCGCGTCGCTTCGAGGTTCACACGAAATTTCCTAATGCTCGGAATCGGGGCGAAGTTATTTGTTAACTGGAAATACCGGCTTTGTATGATCGCAGACGAAGGACAACGAGACAGCGTTGCACTGTGCAGCACAGTATGGGCACACGGAAGTGGTGGCACAGCTGTTGCAATACGGATGCGACCCCAGTATCCGCAACAGCCGGGGAGAATCTGCGCTCGATCTCGCTGCACAATATGGCAGGTAAATTGCACGTGCAGATTTTTATCATTTTCTTCTTTTTTTTTTTTTTGTTTTTTATCATTTAAATCCGAAGTTTATTCGTATTTCCATGCCTGTTTATTCGACACGCGTAGCTCGAAATTCGACTCGCTATTTTCCTAGCATCGGAATTATCGGATCGTTGGAATCGAATAATCGGCGACGATTGCTAATTGGCTTTGTATCCCCTCTGAAAAGTTCATTATCTTTTATAGACTGGAAACCGTGCAATTACTCGTTAGTATGTATCCAGAGCTGATCGCGCCTCTTCGGAACTCCTCCTCGTCGGTGATCTTCCCTCACACTCCGCTGCATCTGGCTTCGCGAAATGGTCACAGGTGAGTCCTTGTAAACAGGCTTTTCCTCTGAATTTTTTATTCCGCGGTTTAATGCACTTGTTTCAAAATGGTTGCTATTATAACATAGCAATATAGATAGTTATTTGAGACAAGAAGAAATAATATAAAACAAATTACGTTCACTTTATATTTAAAATTCTGTACGATTTTGAAATTTATCTGGTATCTGGTCTCTCTACCTTAGGCCGTGCTTTCGATTATAGCGCGTCCAATAACCATGTCGGTATAGTTCAACAGTTCCACGGTCTCTCTTTATTCAATCAAGCCGAGTCCGTTGATCGTGCATGGCGTTCGATCAACACGCGAGGGTGGCAGCTCGCGCGTTTGCCGTCAGTGTCCATGAAATCTATTTTATATTGCATTGCAGATCAGGATCGTTGTTAGATTATTCATGATACGCGGAACCCTGCCGAACTCGTGTACACTGGGCTTCCGTGCGCGTACACGCATCGCACGATTAATTTGTGTTTGACGTAACGAGACTGAAAGGGAATCTTGTCAGTTTTTTTTTAACGAACACGTTAATATTTCACTTACAATAAAATTTCTTTCGCGTCGGTCCTCGGTCAAAAAGGACCAAATTTTTCGTCGCGCGAACGACAGTGGCGACAGTACGCGGAAAACAAAATAAAACATGTGGAATAGAATTTTCCTCGATGGATCGCGAGCGTTCCATGAATGTCTCGTCTCAGAACGCCAGGACACTTTTTTCTCCCCTCGTTCCGTTCGCGCTAATTACCGAGTAATGCGTCGTCTCGCGCATTGTGCCCCAGGAACAACAATGGACTCGTTTCAGCTAACCATAACGATGTCGTGCCATTTGCAGCGTTGCCCATTAGAGCCAATCAGAGAGCACCGCGTTGCGTAATCCCGTCGAATACGATATGTATGTACGTCCTCCAACTGGCATGATCCGTCGCAACCCTCTCCTGGTTACACGTCCTATATTACCATCCTGCCGATTGCCCTCTCGTTCCTCTTCGAGCTGTGCGAATGCATTCGATCGCGCATCGCACCGTCAACAGCTCTGTCCATCCGTGCGGATTGCTGACCGCTTCTCGATTACGAGGATCGTATTAATCATTACCTTCGAAACGTATCGACCTAGATCAGACCGAGCGCTCACGGCCTGGCTGAATCGCGATTGCTCGCTCTCTGTCCCGGGATGTTTAATGCCCTTTCATGCCCGAAGGTGCACCGTCGCATTGATAGAGGCGCACAACGATGAAATATCTTCCCCTCAGAGGGATTTTGTTTGAACTGTCGCACACTGTCGTCCGTGAGCCACCAAACGGCTGCTTATACGCTTCGGAACATGCAAATTAAGATACAGTTATCGATCTTCAGAGAGTTTTCCGATCTACACAATTTTTAGACATTCGTTAATTTTTTCAAAAGAAATCCGTTGACTGTTTATATTGTGATCTACGGAGTATTTTTTTTTTTAAGTAAAACGTGTTATTTTTTTCCTCCTTTTATACTTCAGTTTTAGAAATATTCCCGCGAGACTACGAAGCACCCTGTATTTGACTCAGTGTTGATTTTAAAATTTATTTCGCGACGATACCAATAGAGATATTTTGTCATAAATAAAAGCTCGCTGCGTTCGATCGATTTACTAGTATTTACACGAATAATCGGCGATCGTTGCGTAGCGCGGTAAAAATGTTCAGTTAAATAAACGATATTGTAAGCGCGAACCATTGTTATTTGATTAATTGAACCGTTCAATCGGATGATGCAAGATTAACCGGATAATCGGTTGCGCGGGGCTGTACAATTAAATAACGAGAACGAATTTCGGCTCAAATTCAAAACAATTCTTTGCCACTCCCGTATTTTTTAATTTTATAAAATCGCGTATCGTACTACGTTTAAAATTACATGCTTTTTTCTGAGGACGATCAATCATACGGTCGAAAACGTTTAAAATCTTCGTACGTCTTTGATGATAGCAAAGGTTCGCGTGCTTGGCTAACCATTACTTTGATGTTTCAAATTGTCGTTCAAGCACATAATACAATATAAAATTTTGATACGAGAAAAGTGTACGCCTTCGGTTGTCAAACTCCGATGCCAACTCAAGACAAAAAAAAATCCATTCCATCAAGAAACTACCACCGATCGGGGGGGAAAAAACAATATCGTTTATCTCGAAGCGTCCAAAATGTTTCCCCCCCTCGGAGCAAAAACGATTCGCGTTCAGCAGGATCGCGGAGCCCCGGAAACGGAATTGTATTTAACGCTTTGCTCGGCCAATTCGTTCTCATTTAACATCGCGGCGTCACGTCCATAATCCGGCTGGTAAAGCCTTTAAAATAATCGACGTTGTCGGACGAGTCGCGATCGGGGGGTTGGGGGCGCGGGACACTCGGCGCGGCTCGGATCGAAAATCGGCCAGCGATCGTGAATCGCCACGAAACGGCAGTCACATTGTAATCGGGTATAACGTCGGTTTTTCTATGCAGCCTCGCAGCCGGTAATCGCTTTAACCGGCGCTCTCGGCGCTTATAATACGATCGCGTCGCGATACACAGTCTGATGAATGCATTTTCTGTCGCCAGCGACGCGTTCACCCCCTGCACTCGATCTCCATCCCCCCGTTCTTCAACCATCGTTTCCTCGTCGATGGATGCTGAAACTAGGACTGGGATTGTTCGAATATTTTATACGCGTTTCACTGTTGCCGATATACTTCGAATATTTTAGATTATCGGTTCCTCCGGATCTTCAAGATCTTCGCTAAACTCGGTGATTGTAAATAGAGAAATATGAATTTAGGATCTCGAAATGGTATAGCAATTTTTCTCTGGAAAACCTCTATGCCTCGAATAGATTGCACACCTTTGCTGTCACCGATGATTAGGCGCGCACCTAACTGTCACGCGAATGGCTACCTGTGTAATCACGCACAAACGTTGGTACGTGCGTTTCGCGAACGTGCACGCTCGCCACTTGTCGCTTCAAAGTGCGTTTATATTTGCCGAACAATTCTCGTTTGAACAGTGAATGAATTTGAGAAATGAAATATAGGATTACCAATGACTAACCCTGAGAAACGTTTTTGGCCCCGTTCGATCCTGCGCGACGGAAACAAAAATGGAGGTTTCGCGCGCTACCGTGTCGTTTAAAGCAATAAATTGCGCCCGATTCGATCAGTTCTCATCTCGCTGATTAGGTCCGAAAGGGTCCGACAATCTCCACGGTCAAACAACGGCGAACGGCGTCGCGCGTGTGTACGGGCATTTCGAATGTTTGAATAGGCGCGAAACTACGGTGCCGGGGCGCGGAACTCCATCGTGTACGCTCGTTTTCGGTGTTGCCTCGTCGTGTGTACGCGCGTGGAAGTGGAGGATCGCGGGGGGTTGGGTGTACGTTCGAGTGAGTGTACACACGCAGTTGCGCGACCACGTCGAAACGCACCCGGGATTCGACTGTGTACCGATGCACACTGCGATGATTGCGTTCACGCACGCGTTTCACGCGCTCGCCACGATATTTGGTGGATCAGCCAAATGCGGGGGCGGCAGCGAAACACGATGGAAAGAGACAGAACGGGCGGAGAAAGGGAGCGGGGACGAATGGGATTGGGAATGGGACCGGAGTAATGTCTATTATCGGATTCAATATCGGTGCTCTTGGTAAGCCAGTATACAAATACCCCTATGGCACGGTAATAACAACATAGGTGCACGTGAATCCGATTCCCAGCCACGAATCCTATATGCGACGGATGGCTGCGGTCACTGCAGTCGGTGCACGACGGACACAAAACGAAATCTGGGTTTCGCGCCCCCTATTGGTCGACATGGGAAATTCGCGGCGACCAGGCCACTTTAAGCCGACTGCCGATCACGCTGGCCCCGACCGCGGGCCGTAAAGTGTTCTTGGATGACAGATTTTACTCCGCTTTAACGCGGTGGACCGATTTTTGGTTGGTTCGCGTTCGGGTCTCGTGGACCGTTTAACCTACGATAGTCTACAAATCGTGATCGTCGAGAAGACGGTGGAATCGTACTTGTTTACATTTGGTACAGGGGAGGTGTAACGTGGATAATGCAACGCGAAAATTGATTTTTCGCAGGGCCGTTGTGGAGGTGCTACTAGCCGCGGGTGTCGACGTGAACACGAGGACATCCGCTGGCACGGCGATGCACGAGGCGGCCCTATGCGGGAAAATGGAGGTCGTGCGGGCCCTCTTGGATCGAGGGATCGACTTGGCTATCCGGGACTCACGGCAGAACACGGTGCTCGATCTCTTGGGCCAGTTCCCGCCGCACGTCACGCAGGACATCACCGCGGTGATAAAAAGTGCGTGGATATATCGTAGATTTTCCTTAAAGACTACATAGGAAATTAGCTAATATTTACAAACTTTATCCCGAGAAACGTGAGGGTTCACGAGCTCCAAAACGGGTTTGTCGAAAGAGAGGGTTGAGAGGGACTAACTTTGAACAATGCGTTGCATCGAACAGGGCATAGGTCGTCCTCCGGCGTGGAGAGCGACGCCGACAGCGAGAACTTGCCACCGATTCCGGTCCAGGGTGGCGATTCATTGGGCAGCCCTTACGAGAACGTTCGCCCTGGGGATGATCTTTCACCGGCGGAAGGGACATCGCCCACTCAATGGCAGTTCTATCACAAGCCTCGGGACGACGATCGTCGCGTTTCCGGCACTTCCGTCATGTCTCTGTGAGTATCTCTGCTTTATTTTCACCCTCTTCGTCACTTTGCCTGCGCGGGTGTCGTCGCTTGCAGCGCTCCTTTTCCCCGGCCCTCGTCGGACGCGGGACATAAACTTTTTTCTGCAATCCCGCGTGTCATCGTGCTCGGCACTTGCTGTTGCGTTACGTGTTTGCCAGCGAAACGACTCGGCGTTCATTATTTCAGTGGATGCACGCTAGCGATGCTAGTTACCCGGATGCTGTCCGAGAAACGGATTAACGTATTGACTGCCATGTCTTCGCAAATCTTAGATTATACAATTTTCATTTATCCGAATCGTTTGGCAGTCGACGCGTTAATTGCTAAATGTGTATGAGATAGACAGTGGGGGTGGTTTGGGATAAGAACGATAGAACTTTCGATTGTTTGACATTTGTATTCACTAGTACTTTACAAATCCTCATGGAGAGATACACAGTTGCTCAAAGTTCATTTACGTTTCGATTATACAAATTTATTATGTATCTCAAAACAAACATAGTCGTTTAAATGAAACAACGACCAGCGGATTGTCGTTTCTAGTTTTCGTGTTGCTTCGATTCAAAGTTCTATGGCTGCTATTGGAAGGCACCCGCTGCCATGGTCGTGTCGCGAGAACGGCAGTATGCTAATCGCGATACTGCTCGAGAAAAACGCGCGGTCATTCAGCGTGCCCCGTTACGTGCAACGATTTCGAAGGAACAAAAAAAGGAGGGAAATAAAGGAGTCGTGGGGTAAAAAAGAGGCGATCGTAGCCGGGCGTAGGGGTCGGTGTATTTGTGCTCATCCGACGTCATCTTCGCCGGGGAGAAAAGGATATCGCGTCGGTGCGTCGGATAAGAGCGAGGGCCCGGTAATATTTTCTAGAAAGGCCGGATATACGTATATACGGTATAGGCGAGCGCATAACCGTGGTAGCTTTAATATAGGAGAGATGTTGGGTAAACAAAAGCGTAGACGTGGACCGGGAAGGCACGCGGAGTGAATGAGCAGAGAGTGCCGTGAGTGCGAGCGCGGGTGCGAGTGCTCGTGATGATGGTTAGCGGCGTCGATGGTACCCGGCGTCGGTACCGGTGCCGGCGGTGCGTCGACGGTCGAGCAGAGGCGGAGGAGGCAAGGTTCTCGGACCGAAAAGGGAAGCTGAAAGCGGAGGCGGAGGCAGAGAGGTTGGAGGAGGTGGCGCGGCCGCGTGTAGCCCCAGCGCGTTAAGCACCGCTTGGCTTGGTTTAATTTTCCTGATGTAGGCAGGCGATGGTGGGTCCGACCGCCTCGTTCACCCCTGGGTCACCCCTCCCCCCTCCCGTATCACCCCATTGGTACTCTCTCCGACGGTGCTACCGCTAGCTGCTAAGCGCTACTGGTTGGTTCGACCAGACGGAGAAAGAGGACGCTGGGCGAGCAAAAGACTGACAGAGGGAAAAAGGGAGACGGTGAACCGTGGAAAGAAAGACGGACGAACAGGACGAAAGAGAGAGACAGACGGAGAAGGAAGTGGTACCGGTGCTCTCCGCACCTCCACCGTCAATGTTTGACGTCGGTAGCCGCGGCTCGACCGCCTCGAGATGAATCCATCACGTTAAACAATGTAAATGTTAGCCCGTCTCAGCATAAAACTAATAACCATTGCTCTCTCCCTCGTCCTATGGGCATGGCCTCCAGCCGCGGTTCGCCGGTTTCTCGTTCACCTCTACCTTCGCTTGTTTCTACTCCTCCCCCGGCTTCTGGTTCTCTCCTCTTTCTGTTTCACCACTTGGGCTCCGACCTCGTCTACGTGGCCTCATTAAAAAGTCGGCACTCCGGTACGCGGAACGTCTCTAGTTAAAGTTACGCATTGTTGGGAGGAACGATGGGTACACGGAGTGCTATTCTTTCCCTGTTGCCTGACCGATGAACAGTCGCGACCACGCCGCCGCGGTGTTCTTACGCTTGGCTCGCCTAGCTATTGTGTTTACCGCTCTGCGATATCGAATGGCTGCATACGGATGCAACATGAACGTTGCTGGAAATTGAGGGGACATTCATCATCTGGGTCATCCAGAGATCGTTCAACCTTTTACTGCTATCGACACCTATCGAGTCCATTCACTTGCCACAGCTTCAGTGGATTATTATTTTTTAACTCTTTGCGGATGGTGTCTGCATATGCCGGACAATCTATATATCTACATATAGTCCATTTTGGATACATGTTATTTTCTTGCATCTCTCTAATGTCCGTCCGTAAAGGGATAACTCCCTCCACCATGCATAATGGATATTAGCGGCATAAACAGTGCCCGATGCTCTAGTGCTAGATACTGGTTGCTCGGCTACTAATGGTAATCCCTTTAGAGCGCGATTCCCCAAACCGAAATAAGACGAAAATCATCAGTGATCAAATTGCGATAAAGGCTTCGTGATTATTAGTTGCAATAATCATTTGAAAAAACTAAGATTTCATCATAAATAGAAATTCCAATACGAATTTTAAAAATTGTTCGAACTAAAGATTCATTATTTATCGTTTAACGTTTCAATATTGTTGCTAGCTTCACGATTCGATGGTTAAGAATCACTGACCCAATCGATCGGTTAGCCACTATAGTGACGCATCGTAGCGTTAACGATTACCAATTACTGCAGTATTGTAATAATATGCAGGGCATAAATAAACCATAGGTACAAATGTTACGCATTGATACAACCCATCGAGAAAAGCACAATAGTCTCGTCAAACATATGCGCGCAAACTAATGACTCCCAAAGATACTCGACTCTCAATATCGTAAATTAAAATATTTTTACACGGTTAATAAAGCTGTGGACCAGGTACAAAATTTGCAACACACAATTTTGGGAATATCGTACCATTTTGAAGGCACGTAATCTATCCAGGAATAACGCAACAACGTTCAGACGATAGAAAACGCAAAAATTTTGTTCCGAGCACTGTGTTCCGAGCTGTTTGGGCTTCGGCGATGAATGCCAGTTGCGTCGCTTCGCTTTCAATATGCAACGGTAGATAAATCATTAGGAACCGCACTCGAATCTGACGACACTCGATGGATTGCGGATTTCAGTGAAGACGAGCAGATTGGGGGACCAGTGAACGGAGTACGGAGGACCCTCCAGCAGACAGAGGACTCCGACCCCAGTTCCGTCTTCGACAGTGTCTTTATGTCCATGTCCGACACTCTCAACTCGATAAATACTCTCGAAAGTTCCGATCAAACTCCCGACGACAAACCACAAAACACTACCACCAACAGAATACCGTTAGCACAATGCGACACCACACGGTAATGACATGCAAAACATTCCGCCATTGCTACGGTAGCGCTTTCGATTATTTTTCACTGGTACCGTTTTTCTAACTAAATTTTTTACAAACGAAATTTAACAACGTCCACCGAGTCGGCATTCAAAGTAATTCTACTTATCATTCCGATCGGCTCGACACTGGAATCAGTGCCAGTCGTTGCACGCAAGACATTTATTAATCTCTATCTAAACGTTTGATAGCCGAGATAACGTTTATCGAGTTGTCAATTTTCTTTAACATCGAGTGGGCTGATACGCCCTGCAGATATCGCAGTCTTCCTCGAGAAACGCGGTTGTTAGTGAGTACAGTGAATCGTGGACGAAACAGAACGGTAGAAGAATATTATTTCCAGTGCATGTGGTCCGAAGCGCTACCACCGAAGAACGCTAGCTAAATTAGCAACAGTCACACGTTATCGAAACTAAGAAAAAGAGAACCGATAAAGGGAACAGATTCGATCAAACAGGCTATTAGCGAGTTAATCGTGAATTGGTCCCGTTGAGACGTTCAGTTTGGTTGCGCAGGGGCTCCGACAGCGGATTGTACCAAACGCCACCGGTACCTCGAGGAACAATGGAGGGTAGCTTCGTGTCGGAGGATCTGTCCTTGACATTACCCACGGGATACGGGGGTGGCAGGGAGTCGGACCAATTGAGCGTTTCCTCGTCCTCGAGCGTCGGTGGACCGAGCCCACGGGACCGGCATTGTTTGCCCAACGATTCCAGCGCCGCCGGGATTTACTTGCCAATGGCACCCTTGTCCAGTTCTCTCCACAGCCCCGCCTCTAACAATAAAGTCTCGGTAAGAACGAGTTCCCTTTACGCTCAGATCCCTGACTCGATGAAGGGTTGCACGAGGTCGCGAGAATTACCCTCGATCGAAGCGAAATCTTGGCCCATTAATTAGTACTTTGCATCGTTTTCAACGCCATTTGTAAATATTTTTAATTATCGTTGTGGTCTCGTTATTAGTGGTGGTCGTTATGGTTTCATTAATAATTAAAATTCGATTTGGAGCACGATAAGTGAAATTCTAAAGGGCTGGTCGAAACGTTAATCTTTTAATTTCTGTGTATTTGTTTCGTACTACGGGACGTAAATATTCTATTTTTGCATTAAAGTGTTGCGCAGTTGATTGGGGGAAAATAGAATAAATAGAATTGTTATGCTATAAGTGACGTTAAAAGTTGCGTAGCCAGTTCCCCGTGTATAAAATCACAATTTGTACGACAAACTGTTCTTACGTGTCCTCTTTTTCTCCCTCTTGCCGGAGATTGACTCTTTTTAGAACGATGAACTCTAGCGTATAACACGGCAATGAATCATCTCCGCGCCTTACAGTTCGTTAACGTGGACAAATTGATCGCGGGTTAATTGGCCCGGCATTCTGACGTCGGCGTACGGTTTTTCCTTCGAACGAGGAGTCTCGTGAAAATCGCATGGGAATATTCGAGCATTACCTTTTAAAGACGTTTATCTGTTTCGACTTCGTTCCCATCGTAACATTTTTCCTCAGCGTGAAACATGTTTCTCACAAAATAAAGAAGGCATTCTAGGCAAAAAATAATTTAATTTAATCATCTGTCTGTGCTCTGTATCAATCTTGCTTGCCTCAAGTTCCAGTTAGAAATTCGTCTTTCCAATTTCTCAACGAAATCATAATTCCATCGTGCAACTCGTAAAAAAATACCGTGTGAAATGAGAGTGTCGCGTGTATCTCGTTAAGACAGCGTTCGTTTTGTCGCGTTACAGCCAACGCCGCCGAAAAAACCGCCGAGACGCAACCTGTCCGTGTCGCCGACCCACCTGCAGACCCAGATGTCCTTGTCGGCGGATTGCACGCTAGGTCCGAGCAACTACGAGTACTTGTTCATGGCGCGCAGCGGTGCCCGCAGCCACATCGATCTCGAGCAGCTACAAAAACGTCGCGAGCAATTGCGTCACGTGACGAGGAGCGTGGACCAATACGTGGAGATGAAGTCGCGCGTGCCGGACGGCGAGGAGAGACGCGACGCAAACGTGGAACCTGTTGCCATCACGTCCATCTACGAGAACCGGCCGATCAAGACGTTGAATCCGCGACGGAAATTGCGTCGGCACGCTTTCGATAATTACGAGCCCGGGAGCAGCCCGTGCGCCGACAGGTCGCCGTGCAGCGAGATCGACGCGATCGGCCAAGAGCAGACGTTCGTCTCGAACGCCTTTGTCACGCTCAAGTCCTCCCAAGAGAGCCTCCTGGACGAGAAACGCGACGCGAACGACGAGCACTCGGCCACCGAGGGTCGCGAGGCCACCGACAAGCGCCTGAAACGAGTACAAATGATGCTGCCGACGAGCCCCACGCACTACGTCCAGCCGCCGACGCCTGATCATCCCCCGCCCTCGGCCATGCAAGCGGAGAAGTCGATCCACGAGCGGATCCGTCCCTTGAGCCAGGTAAGTCTTTAGAGTAGTTTGCGGAAAATTATTTCACACCCTTGTTGGTACCTGGTAGGAGCGTATCGAGGTTAACGAAGAAGAGAAAAATAGCTCATGAGTACTCAGGTTTGCCTCGTAGTAGACACTTTCTATTTTCGGTCTTGATACCCGATGAAGCATCGAAATTGGGGCGTAGTAGCGTTCAAGTTCAAACCTTGATTTCCCAATCACGATCCTTAGCTGGTTTTAAGCCGACGCACGGAGGCGTCTTCGCGATCCATCGGAGCGTGCGAGGCGCTCGATTTTGTATCCTCGGCTGCTCCTGAGCGGCAGGATGCGCGAGTACGTGTGCTGAGATCCGTGTCGCGTAGCGAGACGTCAAACGACAGTGGCTTGCGGATCGGGGTCGCTAAAGTACTGGTCTGGTATGCTCGTTTCGTAGGCGGTGACGCGTCCAGAGGCGTTTATCGTCGGTCGGGATCGAGGAGGCGGGTCGCGATCGGTGGCTACACCGAGCATCTTAAGAATCGCACGTCCGAGGCGGCGGTTAAGCGTCGCGGAGGCAGCAGCTTGACCCTAAAGCTTGGACAGTAGATAAGCAGTCGGCGGGACGCCTTGGCAGGTTGCGTTTAATATACAAGCCGTGTTTGATCTGTGATGCGATTTGCAAGGAGCCTCGAAGGTCTCTCTCGCTCCCGGCTGAAGCCTGTATCGCTCGTTTCCCGCCGTTTGCCGCGTCATCCTGTGATCGTTCTGCTGTGAGACTGACTACGTTCGCCTCCCATCCGCTGCGAATGGATATCCATAACATACGCCGCGCGGGGGCTTCTATTTCTCCTATATCTCTCTATCTTCTGCCCTCTTTATCCGTCTACCGCTTTGCCTCAGCCGCGTCGCGTACTCCGGTTCATCCTATGGCCCTCCACCTCTTGCTACTTCCTTCCCGCTGGCTGCTATATGCGTTCGCAATCCGTGTCTTTCAGCGGTTATACACGCTTCACAAAATATCACACAGTGAATATATCCTTGAAGCGAGGAGTTGGATGACGGCAAGAGGCTTTCGGTACCGTGGGTGTTTATACGAGTGTGCGAATGCACCCGGGGAACGCGGCGTTCCTTCGATGGATCGAGTAGTTAGTGCCTCCAGATTTACGGATGCCGGATACGATATCGCGTACGCTGTTTTGGGGGACTTCGACCTTTGTACGGTTGGCCAGACGCTTTCGCGTTTTCTGGATCGTTGCTCTCGAAACGACGCACCGGTTCAAATGAATGTTTTCCAGCGAATATACATACGTTTTTTCCTTTATTTTTATCGCGCGACAAATATCCTTTTACGTTCCACGCGAATCGAGGAAACGACGTTGCGATAAGCAATTTCGTCGAACGGGAGGTACGCGCTCGTATAGATACGACAATCTAGCGGGACGGTAATTGGCAAGTCGCAGAGTCGCGATTGGTGATAACGAGTCAACCTATTTCGGGGATGACAGATACCCGGCGATGTTTCGGCACGATTTAGTCACCTCCTCGAACGTTTCCGACATAGACGTTGACCGAAACTGCATAATCCGCGTCAAACTTCTGTCGATCAATTAATTGGCCACTGAAGTTATATGAATATTTTGCTAAAAATTGAATGAGAATCGAGAGGCGCAGGGTGCGTCGATATCCGGGAGAAACGAATCGTCCTTTCAGCGACTATCCGTGTTCGGCTGGCATCGCCGCAAATCGCGAAAGGCGAAGGCATCAGATGCGATTCGATGACAGGATCAAGGGGGTATCGTGGAAAATCCAGGAGGATCGAGGAAAAGAGGAAGCGAGGCAGCGAGAAGCCGTGAGTGGAAGGACGAGAAGGCGGAAGAGGCGGAGGCGTGGGAGGGGGAACTGCTCACGGATGGTTGCTTCACACCCGTCAACTTCCGCGGATCCAACAGAGCGGCAGAATGCAAGACGCCGACACCCTTTGAATAATGAAGCCCTCGGCTTCTATGCCTGTCTGACTTCTCCTCGTGAACGCTCGGTCTCCTTGCCGCGGCACGGAGAAACCTACGAATTTGTAGTGACGGTTTCCGGCTATATCTAGACAAGATGCGATGGAGAGGAGAGAGAGTCCCTTGGCGTCAAATTTTAATTGCGTTACGACGATCCGCGACGCGACGAAATCGTATCTCCCCGGTGTTGAAGGAGTCTTCTACTCCGGGCGTTCAACAAAAATCGATTCGTTTGCTTTCCATCGCGATTTTACCAAGTAATCGCGCGCGAAACGAAGCACGGCAAATCCTTTCGTCGTGTCGCGACTTTCTCCCTGCTTTGCGTCACAGTGTTATCCCCACCGCGTGGTAGAAGGTGTCACAGGTTACTAATGAGTTACGGAAGCGGGGAATAGTTTTGCAGAATCTAATTTATGGTTACGTAAATACTTTATTGGATCGATGAAAGTGATGATTCGATATGTGGTGCGTATGTGCCTTGACGGAATAAAATGCATCGAGGTTACACACGTCGATGCCTGTGATAAATATTTTCGAGTTTAACGTCCATATTATTAAACTCGTACGCCAATATTCGTTAAGAAAAATTTGATTCGTGTCAGGAATAATAACGGTCGAAGCATTTTCGATGGACACGGTGAATTGAAATTTTAATATCGCCACGCGTGACGCATTTGAAATTGCGAATCGAAAGTCGGGACAAATGTTTCTCGGCCGGGATTTATTTGTCCGGCCTATGTTTTATACAGTTTATTTTATATAATCGCATCAAGCGATCGGTTTGAATAGATTTTTATCGAGTTGGGATCGCATTTATTTGCCCGCCGCGCGTACATTTTTGCTCTCCAAACGGAAGAATGAATTTCTGTACCGTTTGTAAATGCTATCTCGCGAAATATCATTTTTGATCAGTTTTTTTCGGTAATTTGCGAAAATATTACCGTTGAAAAATCAACGGGACTCCGAAATTCGCAATTTTCGAAGAACCGGAAAATTGAACAGGGCTAAAAATATTCCTGTTTTTGATGGGTACGTTCCAACAGATTTGGAAACCATTGTTGCTTTGGAAATTATTCTATTTGATCGTAATCATTTTGGGGTAAGATAGATTCTAAAGCGAAAATATAAGGACCACCGTGCACTGTAGAGTAAAATGCATTTCGTCGAAGCTTCAGAACCTTTCGAAAAACCGTACTTGCGTTTACGTGCCGACAGGTGTACAAACGGAGGTCCCGCGACATGGAAACGGAAACCGATGAGGATTTATTGCAGTTTCCGGCCGGCGGCTCTCTGGACGCGTCCAGCGGTTCGTTATCGAGTGTCTCTCTGTCGGACAAGAGCATGTCGACGGACAACGTCGAGGAATACTTCGGGGACGTGCCGTTTGCAGGTAAACAGCAACGCACGCTTGGCTGCACCGCATGACGCTTCTTTCTGCCCACGTGTAAATGCATAATCGTTGTGTTACGTCTTTGTTTTTTCTTGATTTTTACCGTCTGCCTGACGACGATCGCTGGTCAGCGATCGTTCTCCACCGGGTGAAGTATTAACTTCCAGAATAAAAAAAAAAGAAAAAGAAACACACACACTGCGAGAATGTAATCGTATGCGTTTATTGTTTCACGTCGGGTAAAACTGCTCACGAGGAATCTCGTTTCGAGGGACTTTTCGTTTCGATCGGTCGAACTGTTGGGCAAAATTTACCCGCGAGTAACGATTACAAATTTTAGAACCGTTCGCGAACTAACTTCGTCTTAACTCAATCGGAATCCGTCGACGGATTTTTTTTTAAATCGACATCCTGGCGATCGATGGCTAAAGCTGGTTCGCGAGTCTAAAATTTGCACTCGTTCGCGAAGAAAATTCGTCCAATTCCGCGTATCAGGGCAACTTTGTTCGCGGTTATCGTTTCGTGCTGGTTGTTTGATTGAATTTACGCTGCGTTGTGTTCTCCTTGGTTGTACGATTTGCTGTTCTCGTCGGATAAACGGTGTTTCGAAGTTTGGCGACGATTCGCGATCATCCGGAAGGTTCGATCTTTGACAACTGTTTAACGTATATGTAGGTGATTGTGAAAATTGTAATTTTCTCCTTCGATCGATACTCCTAAAAGAAATCGAATCTGCAGTCAAACCTTCCGGATGTCACTCTTAGTAAATAGATCTCAGATAGGAGAAACGCAGGTTGAGAGAAAGAGAATGGGATGACGAGACCACGGAACAAGGGATACGATAAACCGTGTATTGTCCGGATAACTGTAATCGTTCCCATGATTATTTATCCAAATAAAATATCGCGGCCATGGACGAGAAGGCTCGATCGTCCCGGATAACTGCAACAGCGCGACTCGAACTTCGGTCAGTTATCCGGAGAATGGTGTATCTATCGTTCCGTGAGTCGTTGATGTTCAAGTTGACCGCAGTCGGACGTATTTTAATGTCAGGATCTCGGAAAAAAGTGATCCAGTGGGACTGCTAGACGTGGGGCCTCTAGGTTCGCGTTTTCTAACCTGCGCCAGAAGCGAGTCTAGCGGTCGTTCGTTTTGGCGGGACACGGCGTTCCTTTAATTTACCCGACAGGACGAATCCGTCGAGCGAAGAATGGCCGCGGTTCCACGCTAATAAAATCTTCAATCTTTGCTAACGCGAGACGGTAGATGTGCAGCGCAAGCGGAATCCTATTTGCGGAAAGAATTAACTGTTGGGGCTCGGGGATGCTCTGTTCGCCGTGAACACCAGTTTTAGGGTAAAGTGTTTTCGCGATCGGCGGAGTAGAGTTGGACACCTTTTTGTGTATGCTACCTACGATTAGAGATCGATTAGTTCCTTAGGTTATCGACTATTTAGTTCGTTAACTGTGATGTATATATACGTGTATATGCTGGGTGTTTGAAAGAGGATTCAAGAGTTTTGGAGCGTGACTTGCTGAAACGTTATGAATCAACTTTGCCAGAGCAGAAGAAGATTCTCCCTAATTCGTTTGTTTCTTGGTGCTAATCGATATCGATCGACGTTGATCTGTAGCCGGATTACTGTCGTTCGAGTATTATTTTTATCATCCTTCCAGCGAAGTGTGTTCTGTGTGCCGTCCTATTAATAAGCTGCTTAGGCTACTGAAACAGGAAATCGCTTCTCGCTTTGAAAGAGTTGATTCGTAGATCTGGAGAACGACGAACTCTTGCAGCCGTTGTTATTTATCAGTGTAATGTTGGTTGTAGCTTGGAGGTTATTAAGAAGAAAGGATAACTTCTTGTGTAACCAAGGACATTCGTGCGTCACATCCTTTTAACGTTTGCCCCGTGAAAGGAGGCGTGTAAGAAACACGTTGCACAGTGTCAGAGACTCTCGAGGTGTAGCTTCGGATAAGACGTACGTAGAAGTATATCAACGGTATTCAATATTTATAAGCTAACAACGTAATACTATGTAATAGGTTCTAATTTATATAACATACATGCCATTACGTTAACGAATCTCAAGTTCAGTGTTACGTATAACGTAGTACTATGTTAACATACGACAGTACATCAAAGATTAAACCTTAGTTTGGTTTCATTCGGAAGGACATATTTATACGCCAGTGGTACAAGACGTAATAGTATGTCAATGAAACGTAGTGCTACGCTACAAGTGAATACGTCGATCGAATTTGCTCATTTCAGTCTTCGTTATTCGTCTTTGAATTCTTGAATTATTTCTTTCATTAACACCCTATATATACGAGTCGTCGTGCGTACAGTGTACATGACATTTGTATGGAAGTCTACGAAAATCATTGTATCGAATGTTTTGCCAATTGTCTCTCCAATAGAACTTACGATATGTTTCCTATACATTTATCATTTGCCAGGTACATCGGTTATACTGTTCTGTAAATACGCATTACCTTTTTTTAAGGAGGAGCCGATGTATTGGGAAGATACATTTTCTTTAACCGTAGCTAACGCACAGTTTCGTTCTACGTACAGTAGATATTCTTACTACGACCGTAGTATTTGCTTCTTTTTGTCCATTTACACGTTCGTTGTAACGCGTGTATTCGAAAGGTGTAGAGAGAGGACGATCGAATCTCCGGGGAAAAATGTGCAATCTCCTTTTCCCCGCAGTAGAGATAAGACATCACACAAAGTATTTGTAGAAGTTCCAGATTTTCCAACGTTCGTGGAACTTCGATCCTTTTAGGTCGTACGAGATATCGTCGTTGTAGATCGTAAAGAAAGCTATACCTAAGTGAAAGTATTCTTCGACAAATGGGTATTGTAACGGGCGCGGTGGATGATCGTAGAATATCACGTTCGTTTATCAGGACATCGTGGATAGGTTTCTTCGTCGATGTTGCTCGTTTCTCAACGTTCGCGTGTAATTTTTCCCCTCGCGCAATCGCGAAATCGCGTCTCGATCTCTCGATTTAGAACTTTCTACTTTATTCCACGTTATCCTGATATTACGTCGCCGCGGATCTTTTCGTTCGCTGTAAAATTGTACATCGTTAGAAAAATATTATCGAGAAAGGGACCTATCCGCGACAGCCAGAGTCGCTCGACGAACGGTGAGAATCGTAGATTAAGTATTTTTATTTGTTACATTGAATCTTCCTTCCCTGGTATACACACAGTTTATTTTGTGATTGATTTTATATTTTATTTTATGTTATACGCTTCGTCTAGTTATTGTAATCGCTCGACGATTATCACGTGTAAGAGTATATTAAATTAGGTACAGATTAGATGGTAAACATATGCGATTATAGTGCGTTATAATATCGTTGGTGTGCTAATAAACGTTATGCTGCTATGTATGCGATGTCTTGAATTATTTTGTCGCTTTCGTACGTCCTTGGAGCTTTCGTGATTATTTTATTGGTCCCTGTCCAGCGTTCTTTTTTCGTTCATCGTTGATGAGTTTGCTTTTCCGGTTCGTTATTGTTTTCCTTCGGGGATTCTCTCGATCTTCGTGTTAGTCGAGTCTCGCGTTGATTAAAATTTATAATCAAATTGTCCCGCGGACGATTATTTATTTATAACCGAAATGTTCCCGGTGAAAAGGAAAAGCGAGCAAACATCGCGTTACGTTCATGGTTTTAATCGAATTGCTTGATATTTGTAACGTTAACGATTGATTTCCTTTACCAAATTTAAAACGATATTTATCCTGTCGAAACGCAAGGCGTGCAAGAAGTGTACAGTAAAGTTTTGCGACTAGCTGCGTTTTTGCTGAGACAATTTAAATATATTTTAAGTGAAACTGCATGCGAGTGATACGAATATCAGCGTGATTGCGCACGGATCGTGTACCTTGATTTTTTCTTTTCACAAACGTAAGATTATTCTAACACGGTCGTGAAACTTGTCACCAATGTTTATGCACATTTAACGCTTCACGGTAAGTTACCAATTAAATTGTATATACAAATAGCTATATTTATAATTGCAAACGCTTGAAGTTATAAAACACATGTTCTGTACGCTCATTGTTATTGTACATACTCTGTAAATATTAAGATTTTTCAGTCTCCCACGGGCAATACTGTAAATATTATAATGCATTTGATTTCGTTCAGGATATTTACTACTAAGGAGATACAACGAAACATTTAATACGTTTGACCAGTAAGATGCATCGGTTATTCATTGCACTTGGTTGCATGTTCCTTCATTAAAATCATCCTTGTCCTCGTTTCGACAACGTAGGAAGATTATTACAATATTCAGGTCGCATTAGCTCTTGCATGCGGTAACCATGTTGAATCCTTGAGTTATAAAGAAAGTCACTTGGCTTTTGCACCGGCCAAACGTTTTGTTAACAAAACGAGGGCTGTTTATACTTGGCAACAAGTAAATTATCGTACTTTTCTCGATACGGAAGAGCAGATAATAAAAGCTCTTACTTTTAATAGTCACAGGTAATAGAGTGTTACGAAGTTGCTTAGGTGCCCAATTATCACCAAAGAGGTGAAAGACACGGTGAGCTAAAATTCTCACTGAACCATAAAAAGAAGCAGTTTACCCAACGTTCAAACACCTTTTAGCTTCTCATCTGCTTACTTAGGTAGCATGGCCTGTTTCCTGGACTTCCCCGCCGACTAAGGTCATTGTTCTCATGTGTCCCGGGCTCAAAAAAGAAAAGATACCTGGAAACGTGGTAGAAATGGCCCTAGGTAACGGCCTTCGAGAAAACGAAAAAGAGAGTCGTAGCGCCGTAGGTTCCCCCTGAGAATTCCTCGAACCTTTCTTTACCTGTCTTTTGGAGGAGAATTAAGAAAGTCAGATTCTTTCTTAACCCCTTCCTGTACTTTAACGAGTCTGACTCATGATGAAGATTTTGGCCCAAACGTAAACATCACGATCTAGGCTTGCGGACAACAAATGACGTTGGTCACGATTCTTACAAT